CTGAGCTCCCTGGTCCATGCCCAGCACCCCCTCCCTGCCTTGTTAGCACCTTACTGGCACCATGGGCCATCCAGCAGCAAGAGGAAATTTGAACCAATGATCTTCACCCCATAGCTGCCTGGTCAAAGGTGGTCTCAGGCTACCTGCCACCAGTCTTCCATTCAAATGGTGAGAAAAATGCTAATGTGTCTTTTCACAGGTCTCAACTCATCTGAGCCCTAAAACTATCCCTTGAGCTCACAAGGGCCTGGATTATTTTCCTCATTGGATAGAAACCTGAGCCAGTGAAGGGAAGTAACCTCTGTGCCCCAAAACTTGAGGGCTGGCAGGGCTGGTTGTCTGTCTCAGGTATGTCACCTCTACTGTCTGACCCTGCCCTCCGGGAGTGGGGACAGGCCCACTGGGGGAGCGTGACAGGGGGAGCTCTGTGTAGCTAACAGTCCACCTCTTTGGCCTTAGAGAGCAGAGACTTCTTGATGGGCACTGGAGCTCCCTGCAAAAGGCCCACCCCGGAACCTCAGGGCGAGATGAGGCAGAGCCCTGGTCCTCCCTGACCCAGACCCCAGCTTGGGGAAGGCCAGGGATGTAGTGGGGAGTTCCGGGGATTTGAGATATGCCGCAGCACATTCCAGTCTGGGGAGAGGTGGGGCAAGAGGCTCCGGGCCCATCTGGGGATGGCATTGCCTTGATCCCACAGCCCACTTCAAGAACAAGACATCAGCCCCATACTGGGAGCAAGAGGGAACAAATGCAGGGGAATAATTCATGGCCACGCTCTCATTGGAGGGCAATGGATAAGCGAAATGCTGTCTTCTGTCTTTGTGGGGGCGTCTGGAGAGAGAAGAGGCCAGGTCACGTGGTAGGATTGCTTCAGAAATTACATCTCCGGGAATTACATGACAGGAGCTAAAGCTCACATGGGGCAGTCCCTCTCTGCTGCTGGGATAACTGAAGAGAACAGGGTCCTGGGGAGATGGGGCAGCAGGGACCTGGAGCTCTGTCTCAAGAAGAAAGCATGACCAGGGACAGAGGCCAGAGGGGAGCAGGAAACCCTACCTAACCCTCCACAAATGCAGGTGGCCGGAATGCACCCACTCACGCCTGCCCACTCACGGCTGAGGATTTCTCTGCGGTGAGAGAGGCTGCATCAAAGCATCCATACCCCCGGCTTGGAGGAGGGCAGGGAGAGCGAGTTGGTCTGAAGCCAGGGCCAGTGACCCTCCTACCACTAAGGTCAGGTGACCTCAATGGAACCTCCCCTTGGGAGGGCTCTGGGGGACTTGGCCAGCCCATCAGCCACACTTGGGCTCCTTGCCGTCCCCAGGCATCCCTGCTCCCTTGGGGTCCTGCAGAGGGGCTCCTGGGAGGAGCAGGGCAGAGACAGGCTTAGAGCGACGGATGCAGGCTGCCTGAGGATCCTTGTCTGGCTGAGTCCGTGGAGCCCCCTCTGAAAAGCAGTGCCAGCCAGGCGCCAACTCCTCTGCTGCTCTTGGGAAGGACCCTGCTTTCTTGCTCATGCTTCCTCAGGGGCAAGCAGGTAAAGTTCAGGCTTCCCCTTCTTAACTAGATTCTCCCACCAGTAAATTAACTTCTGAACACCCAGGCCGAGAGAGTGCGGTGTCCAGCTTCCTGGCGGGGAGACCGGCACTGAGCCGGCAGAGATCGTCAGGACCTGCTGCTGAGATGTCACTGGGAATTTCCATCTGCAGAGAGCATGCCTTTCTCTTTCTGTACTTTGGCACTCTCCTCGAGGCTGGTAGAGGTGGCAGCTGCAGGACTGGGGCTCGAGGACACAGGCTCCTCTGGGACACTGCTGTGGGCACAGTGGAGACTCTTCCCAGAGTCTTGGCAGAGCACGGCCAAGGTGGTGTCTCTTTCCTGCCTGATCTGGATGGAAAAACCTGAGCCGAGCCCAGAGTGGAGCCAGAACCATGGAGAGGTCTCCTGTCACATGCAGGGCAGCAGGGCAGCGGGACGGGGGTGGGGGAGAAGTGAACCTGCTTCTGGGCCAAAGTTCATATTCTTAGAAATGCCTGAACCCTGGCTCCTGAAAGCAACAGCCTTCTACTCCCAGAGGCTCTCTCCAGCCTGTCCCCAACTAGCCTGACCCCTGTGCACAGCCACAGGGAGAGGCCCAGCGGCTGGCCTCCTGGTGCTTGATGACCCTGCTGGAAGGACTGCAGGGCTGAACCTGGCCCCGCAGGGCTCACTGAGTCCATCCTCACTCTCCTCTTTCCAGACCTCAGGGGGTGGGACTCAACCATGACCTCAGAGGGCTCACAGGGGGCCCAGAGCTCCTCCAGCCCAGGCTATGGGTGACTGTGCTCTCGGGGGACCCTAGAAGGTACTAGGCCAGGGTCCTCACAAAGCCACAGTGGCATGGTAAAGCCAGGATGTCCTCCCTGGGAACCTGCCTTACCAGTGACTCCACAGTGGGGAACACCAGTTCCCCTCCATGTTCCTTTCTCTGGATAATTCTCCAGGGATGCACCCACCCCCGAAGTTCACAAAGGCTGAGATAACGGATGGGTTGCTCTTGTTCTCTACCGACTATTTTAATAGTGTCGCCCTTACATAAATATCAGCTGACTTAACCAATGAGTAGTGGATCCCTTCATATTATACTGTGGTGATAAAAGATCCCAGTGTCACATCTGTGCTCAATGGGGAAAACTGCTGTGATTGATTAGTAATGTCTGTCATGGGGAGGGACCAGAAAGTGGTGGCATATATGCTGTGTTTGCTTTCTCAGATATCGCATTGCAGACTTTGAGGAGCACCATCCCATGTGTCACCTCACTTGATTAGGACAGAGGTCTAGGAACGATGAAGCTTATCATTTATTTACAAAGGGAGGCATCAGGAAGGCTGAAGTTAAGTGTGTCTTTTCCTAAGTCCCCCAAGCGAATTAGGGCCCAGGCCAGGGTTAGGTCACACATGTCCTGAGTCTAAGGTCAGTACAGGGAAGATACTTAGATCAGGGGATGCTGGAGATGAACCTGCCGAAGTGTTCATGTGTCTCTGGGAAAGAGTGCTTAGTAAATCTTCCCCAGGCTTGAAATCTGCTATTCTGTATGCATATGTGTAGGATGTTGGCAGGAACAGAGCGCGTGGAAAGGAGAAGGGCTGCCCACGCTAGAGCTGACGGCCCCTCTGGTTGCTTATAACTTTAACAGTGGGCTGGTCTGCCTCCGACTTGCTCCCATTTCATCACACCGGGAAGGCACCCCGGGAGGAGAAAAGGGACCATTTCAGAAACATCTGTAGGGAGCAACTCTGGACAGCTCGTCAGTTACCATGGAAACTCACCCTTGGAAACTGCTTCAATTTCAGGGAAATAGCTACAAACAATAATAAGCATAAATGAAAAATGGTACACTGTTACTTGAAAATTGTACTTGTTATTGGATTTTGTTGGGTTTTAGGCACTGAACGGCAGGCTCATATCCGCGAGTGCGGTGGAAGGCAGACATCTCTGCCTGGCTGCTGGCCTAATGACATAGCCCACATCCTCCCTCCCACCGTCCTAATCAAGTTTCTGGATGTGACCTCCGGGGAGGCATTTATCAGAGGAACTAATGTCTGAATTGCGGAAGGATGTGCCTTGCAAAAAACAAACATTTGCTGAGCAGACTAGAAGGCAACACGGAGCCATGTGGAGGGGGCCGTGGGCCAGGGTGTGATGTCACTGCGCAGGCTTTCTTCAGCTGGCACGGAGCATTCACATGGGCCTAAGCTGGAAAGCCCTAACGAAATCAGGCAGTGGGAATAATAGCTGAGCTGGGAATCTCTGTTCTAATCTATTTTCAAGGACTCTCAGGGTTGGAAAGGATCTTATTATAAAGATGACCTGGACCAGCTCCTACCCCTATGTGATGTTTCTGTTGGCAGCGTCCTTACCAGATGATACCCGAGTTTGTGCGTGCCTGGACTTTTCTAAGAGTTATACCATTTTCCTGACACTGGGCTGCATTCTAACTCCTGGTAGCTTCTACTCATGAACAATCAGATCCCTTTTGGCAGCGATGACCCTGTAGCCATCTGGAGTCCTTCCCCTGGTCCTTCTGTGTTAGTAGTGATCAGACGTTAGTGGTCCTCTCATGGCTGTTCTCAAGGAGCTCTCAAAGGGGACAGGAAATGGAACCCAGACCCTGCCAGGAGAAGACTGTGTCACTAACTGTGGGCTCCTAAATTATACTTCAAAAATCACTGTGTATATACAGGCCTGTACACTTCAGAGCACTGCATTGATCCTGACACCTGCTCTCTGAAAGCAATTAAGGAAGCAGGGAAAGAAGTTATACTGAGGGTCTGCTGTCGGACCCACCTGTTGGAGAGTCCCCACTGCACAGATAAGTGAAAACGAGGTACAGAGAAGGTGGCTGACCTGCCCATGATCACCCAGAAAGAGAATGGCCAGGCCTGGACCAGAGCACCAGCATTCCGCTCCCAGTCTCCCGTAGGAAGGTCACTGAGCCTTGGGCACCCAAGTCGTGAGCTCCATGTCCTAAGACGGGGGGGCCCCCGAGGCCATTTGCAACGTGTGCTAGAGTCAGATCTGAAATGACAGCCCCCTGTGGGGCCTCTCCTTGCATCCTGCCCAGGAGCTCCTCTGAAATGGGGAAGGCAGCCCAATGATCAGGGAGGGCCTGAGAACCCCCCACAAAGAACATTCTGGTACCTACAGTCTCCAGGTTGAGGATCTGATGCATAACAATGAAAGCCCTCTGGGGCTGGAACGCCATACGGAAACTTACAGCAACAAGTTGCAAAGAATACCAACCCATCCTACCATGTTCTTTCATCCACTCAGGCAGGCTCTGATTGAGGGAAGTGGCCTGCCTCTGCAGAAAGGAGCACTGTCTTTCTCAACAGAGAAGGGAGGAAGCCACCTCCCCCCAGACCCCAGGGAACCGTGGCAGCAGGGCACCTGCAGGCATGGAGGGAGTGAGGGTGGGGAGGGCCCTGCGGCCCTTTGCGGGGCTGCGAGGCCAACTCACCAGGCTGTGCATGATGCGCACGCCGTCGGGGTTCACCGTGAGCGCCTCCTTGTACAGCTGCTTGGCCTCCTCCAAGCTGCCCTTCATCTCGGCCAGACGGCCCCGCATGTAGAGTACCGAGTGTGAGGTGGGGAAGAGGCTCGCTGCCTCCTGGATGCAGAAACCTGCTTCCTTAAGATGCTGCTGCTCCATGAAGAGTTCAGCTGTGAAACCAGAAGGACAGTGGGAGGTGAGGGTGGTGGAACAGTCAGAGGCAGAGGCCCCCTCCCTGGGAACCAGTCTCAGGTGATGGAAATCATCCCCACAAGGCACAGAACAGGGCAGGCCTGCTCTGGACGGTAGGGGTAACACCAGGTGATGGTTTCTGTGTGCCCACTCTGTGCTACGTGCCCCACACAGCCAGCGCTCACAAAGCCCTGGAGAACAAGCACGTTTATTGCCTGGCTTCGGGAAGGAGGAAGCTGAGGCACAGAGAGCGTAAGAAAGTCACCCGAAGCCAGAGAAAGAGTAAGTTAGATTTGCATCAGGCCAGCAGACTTCAGAGCCCTGCAGTGGGGGCACACATGGAATCTCCTGGAGCTCAACGTTTGCTCAGGTGACTGCGGCTTTTTTTCCAGTGTCCTCTCACGTCACTTGTTTATTGCTAATGTGCCGGGGCTGGGGGAGGCGGGCAGATGTGGTGGCTCTCCTCCAGCTCTCCTCTGAGGACGGACGCTAACAGTGTGCACAGAGCCCGAGGGAGAGCCCAGTGATCCTGCCAAGGATGGCGATGGGTGGGTGGGGAGAAGAGAGGCCCAGGGAGCACCTGTGAAGGGGTGGAGCTGGGCCCCACCAAGGAGTGTTAGTAACAGCTACCAAGCAGCCTGCGCCGACTGCGGGCTAAGGCCCAACTGTGTGAAGCATCTCTCTTTTAATCCTCACAAGTCTGGGAGGGAGGTTGGTGCTTTCATGAGCCCCATGCTAACAAACCAGGCTGAGAGAGGGAGGACCTCAGTCCATCCCTCAGTGGGAAGGAGCAAGGCAGGGTGGGACCCCCCAGCAGCTCCCGGCCTCCCTCCAAAGGACTTTCTACAGCACTGAGAGGAACGGAGGACACAGTGCAATCTGTTCCACAACTGGTTTGCCTTCTTCCCCAGATCAATGGAAAATGGGGCAGCTTCTCCAATCCCAGGTCAGCCCACATAAATGCATATTTCAAACCCTCCTGCGTGCATCCACACCCACAGCGGGTGCTTTTAGCAACACAGCTCATTGGGGATGCAGCCTGGCCTTGCAGCATACTCAGCCCTCCTCTTACGGCAGCCCAGGCCTCGGCCGCCCGCCCTGGGGCTGGTGCCCGCTCACAGATGGGAGCACAGAAGGGCAAGCAGAGCCCAGCTTGTGACTTTGCCAAGAGCTGTTCTGAGCAAAGGCTGAGAGCTGAGGTTACATGAGTTCAGATTAGGCCTGGGATGGGTCGGATAAGAGACATCCCGAAGGAAGCTCCCAGAAAGACGTGGAAAGACAAGGCTCAGGTATCCACCTTCCTGCTCCTATGAGAAGCAGGAAGGAGGTCTAAGGCTTTGACTATAGCACACAGCACTTGGAGCACTCAGCATGAATACTGCCTAAGGCTCATTGTGTAATCAAATAGCTTACCACATCCTAAAATATTACAGAGGGCTTTTTGAGCAAGGGTACTTTTTTTCACCAATGGAGATGAGAATTGGAGAGAACCAGAGAATTAATTAAACACAGAGGAGCCAGGCTCCCATGATAAGTCAAGAAAGAGAACTGCTGGGCCCTTGTTCTCTAAGCCAGGGATTCTCAAGATAGAAAACAAGGGATGGAGGATGAGGCCAGGATGGGCAAGCGTTGAACCTGGGGCCTTGCAGGGAGGGCTGGCCCAGTGGTCAGGGGTTGGGCTCTCTGTGTTGACTCTCCTCTGTTGTGCTGTTGTGTTCCTTTCTGGGGCCGCTACCTGGCACACTCAGCAGGCTGCCTTCATAACTAAAGTGTCCCATGTGCAGCTATTGAGCACTGATGGTATGCCTAGCCCTGCCACAAGAACAAAGAGGGAAGCCACCAAACACTGGAATTGACCTAGCACAGTAGAATGACAAGTGCCAACTCTGAGTGCTCTGGGCACTCAGAAGGGGTCAGGCCAGCTGTGCTGGCGTGATCAGGGAAGTCTTCCTGGGAGCAGCAGCATTTAAGGCCTGAAGGCACAGGTGCCCTCAGGCTGGCAGAGCAATGGGAGACTGCGCTAACCCAGGGAGCTGGGCTCCACTTTGGCAGAAGTCCCCTGGATCACAGAGAGAGGAAAAGTAGGAGGAAGAGTGTGGTGTGAGCGCCGGGGGTGGGGAGGCCTTCCTGAATCAGCTCCCACCGTGGCTTCCTCCCTTACCAGCAGCTCAGCTCAGGGGCCAGGCCCTCTACTGCCCTAGACCTGCCTCCAGCAGGCCCGCCCCAGGCCTGGTCCACCTACCCACCTGGTCTTGGCACGGCTCATTAAGCTGTTTACAATTTGCTGCCCTGTCTCCTGAGCTTCATCTCCAGAGGCTGCCCCTGGTTCCCTTCACTTGGGGATTCCTCACAGTGCCTTGACATCAACGGATTTCAATTTTAGGATCCCCACCTCCTTCCTTCTTCGGGACCTTGGGCCTTGTCAGGCTGGCCATACACCAGAAAACATGCCCTGAAAAATAGGTAGGGCTAATTTGCTCCAATGGGCTTCATTACCAGTTAGGCAGGAAACCAGATGACACAGAACAGCGTCAGAGGAGTGAGGTCTCCCTAGAGCAGCTGCAGTGGCCTTGCAGACAGCTCCTGGCAGGCCCAGCCTCCAGGGCGGGGCCTCTGACCTGCGGACAGGCTCACACATCTGGGGGCTGCAGGGCGCCCCTTCAGCCCAGGCTCAGTGTCCCTAGGCAGTTGTTTAACCAAATAGATAGCCGCATGGCACAGTGCCCGCCCACTGCCCCGGTCCGCTACCACCAGGCCCCGGCTGCCGGGCCCCGAGGTGCCCACACCCCTCCCGGCCTTCCCTGGCTGGGGCTGGATGAACAGTCAGTGAGTGTTACCGGGTTCTCCTTGAATTCTTGTAGTCGTGGTCGTCACCCCAAGCAACAGGGGCCTTGCTGTCCCCTCACTGTCAGAGGACCCTCTCTGATCCTCTCTCAGTTGCCCTTCCAACTCTGATTTTCTCACTTCTCAAATCCTCCCAGCCTCTTCTAGACCTCCTGTCTTGCCTGTCTCAGCTTTTCTTCCCTTCCCTCCATCTCCCTCCACCCACCCCCCTCTTCGCTTTCTCTCGGCAGACTCCAAATGGAAAACATCTGTTCCCTGGAGCTTTGCAACAGTCCTTTTATTATTTTTCTAAGGCATCCTGCCCTAACCCTACACCCAGAGCTGGTTCCAGTCTTCCTGTGCCCTTCTTGCCAATGCCGAGGTCTCACCCCCTAAGGTTGGGAGAAAGACTCGCTCTTCCAGGGCTATTTGCACAGCCTCTATGCAGGGAGGGCCTTGCCCTTGGGCTGGTTGTGAGCTGAGGAGCTGGGAGAGGGAGGGCCCAGGGCCACACCTAAGGCCTTTTAGGGGCCTTCCCAGGTGAAATAGAGACTCTCCACTGGCTAAAGGGGCAAAGCGCCCCTTCCCTCCTCCGGCCAAGGCAGGAGAGAAGTAAACACTGGGCCCTAATAAGAATCCACCTTAGCTAGCCCCGAGTTGGGGGGGGGGGTCACCCACACTGCCCCCTAAAGGCAATAAGCATCCTCCCCGTGGAGCAGACCCTCAGAACATACTGACACCCAGAATAAAGGAGGGGTGGGGGGCGGATGAGGGAGGAATGAAAGAGACGCCAGGGGAGCCAGAGGGAAAAGACCCAGGAGAATAACAGAGATCTAAAAGGATTTTCAGGTTGGCCTGAGGCCCTCCACCCCTAGGCCCAGAGCTCCTGACCTCCTGGTCGGGGAGCCTCTTCTCACTAACTCAGGATCCTGCACAGAGTGAATGATGGGCAGAGAGGAGGGAAAAAGAAAAAAGCTGGAGCAAGGCAAGAGAGGACTTGGAGAGAAGGCACAGAAGGCAAGAGGGAGGTGGGGGGTGGAGAGCTGGGAAAAGAGGACAGAATGAAGATAAGGAAAGGAATGAGGAGGAGCAAGGCAATGCAGGGCCAAGGGTAAGACAGCGTCTTCCTTGACTATAATTTTATAACAAATATGACCTTTAGACACAGCCCTGACTGCCCCACTCCAGTTCTCCAGGCTGCACTGCTAGCAGCTGGGGTAGCGTCCACGGGCAGGGCCACCGAAAGAGCCAGGGCACCAGCGACCAGGCAGTGTGAACTTGCCATTTGGGACCTAAGACTTGGGCCGACTTCCCCCAGCCCAGGGAGAGCCCTCGGCCACCTGTGAGCCCCTGGAATCCCAGGCAGGGGACCTCTCCCTCCATCCATCTGCCTCTCTCTAGCACACACGGTTCCCAAGATGTGAGCAATAATGAGAGAGAGAGAAGTGGGCCATCTTGGTGTCCTGGAAGCACCTTTAGACGCGCAGGATTCTGGAGCATCTATGGGGCCTGTGCCTTACCCTTTGTCACACATACCTGCTGCCAAAGAGGCAACATTTCGGAAATTCATCTCTCAAGTAGAAACCCTCAGGGAAGCTTCTCAAGTCAGACTGGAAAGGGAGGGCGCGAGTAGGGGAGGGGAGGACAACGAGAGCTGGGAGAAGCAGCACACATTTCCCAGCCTAAGAGAGGGGTTAATGACGGAACTTACTGCTAGAACAGACTGGGACGCAGTTTATCTTGCACCAAACCAGGGGGATTAGCTCATTCCAAAATGATAAAGGGGGATATTTTTGCCTTCCTGCAAAATCGCTGCAGCTGGTGGAATCATTAGGTGGGTGGGTGGGGAAGCTGATGTCAATATTCTCAGCCTGGGCCGGGCGTGGGGAAGGGCAGTAGTTAGGGAGAAGCCATCGCTGGGCGATCTGCTCCTGGCAGCCCTGCATTCAGTGGGTGCTCAGCACGTGCTTGCTGGAGATGGTGGCGACCCGGGGAGCGGGGAGGGCTCACGGAATGCAGCTTGCTTTGGAATTCTCCCGGGCTCAGCCTGAAAGACCTAGGACACGTTCTCATGTCGTTTCTGGTTGTGGCAGCTGCCCACCTGTCTATTCCCCCTTTCTTCTCTAATGAGAGATTCCCTGACTTTTAATGGCACACATGGACACCCAGAATGACATTTCCCACAGTCCCTTGCAGCTAGCTAGCTGTGTGGTCATGTGACTAAGTTCTGACCAAAGGGTGTAAGGGGAACGGATGTGTGTAAATTCCAGGCAGGATCTGTCCTTAAGGGAGGAGGTGTCCCATTCTCCCACTCTTCCTAGGTATGCCTTGGAAAGTGAATGTGGTGGAGAGCCATGTTGGATCACTGGGATGAGAGTGACCACAGGAGCCCTGGCTGGTGTGGCTCAGTGGACTGAACGCTGGCCTGCAAACCAAAAGGTTGCCAGTCCAATTCCCAGTCAGGGCATGTGCCTGGGTTGCAGGCCAGGTCCCCGGCTGGGGGCATCTGAGAAGCAACTGATCACTGTTTCTCTCCCTCTTTTTCTCCCTCCCTTCTCCTCTCTCTAAAATAAATAAATAAAATCTTTTTAAACAATAAAAGAGTGACAAAGGGAGAGCAGAACTAGCAACACAGAAGGAACCTGGGTCCCTGGACCAGGAAAGCAGAGCTGCCAGCCCAGAAGAGAGAATGAAGCTTCTAACGTGTAAAAGCCATTTTGGATGGTGACACATACCCAAACCTGTCTCTCAATGCCACCCTGCCCAACCCTTACCTGGCACCACATTCAGAGTACTCGGATTTTGTTCCCCGAATTCTCTGTGGGCTGAATGTTTAGGACAATGTCTAGAAAAGAAAGGCTAATGTGTGAATTATTGAAGGGCATGCATCTATACCAATATTCCCCTGTCTAGTTACAGGCTTCAGGAACGATTTTATCCTTCTTTGGAGTTACCAGAACATACTGGCACCCGTAATGTAAAGTAGCGTATCTGTGGAATGCAAGCAGGCTTGTAAGATGCAAAAACATTTTCATTTGCTGATGATTATAAACAAGACATATCATTAAAACAAAAGGCCTCAGGAGCCCCAGAGTGGGCAAACACATGACTCTGGAATGGGTCACTGTGCTACCACAGCCCTTGACGTTGACGAAGCCCCCAGCGTACCTTCCGCAGCCATTATGGCTCCATACCTTAGAAGAAAACAGGGCAATATCCGCCTAAGAGGAGGCCTTGTCTACTATTCCTCTGAATTTTTCAACAACCTTTTTCCTACTTAAAATGCAAGAAGCTGACCGTGGAGCACAGCCCTGACAGATCCCTAGCATCCTGAGGGACCCTGATATAGTAACTGGGGCAATATTTGCATTATTAAAATGCTTCCCTGTCTAGTCTTTCTGTGAATCCTGGTCCAATTTTATTTTTCCAGATTCAGAACCTGCGGTGGGGAGAGTGGGGGCGTACTGCATACTAATGTGTCCATATGTGAACTCCATGCAGCAGGAAACCTTGGATTCTCAGTTAAGCACATTTTCACTCTTAACTTGCAAAGCCCACATGTCCCAGGAACTGATTATCCACTTTGGGTCTCTTTCCCATCTTCCCTCAGGAGCTATCGGCTCCACCTCCTCGGAAGAAAGGGGGCAGATAGGAAGGTAATGGGAAGAAAGCTGAGGAGCTTCACTGGGGCAGATCTCAAACAAGGAGGCATGTTGGCCTGGTGCATTTTTAGGATCCCACTTCCCCAGTCACCTTCGTCTCAGTTCTGCAGCTGCTGCCATTTTGTCCCAGGCACATCTCTGGCCCTGACTCTCTTTTCACCCTCACCCATCTCTCACACCACCATCTGATTAAATTTTCAATCACTCCAGCGAGTCGCTCCTTGGCATCCCTTAGTCAAGCAGCAAGGGCAGTCACCGTTGGTGGTGCCTCTATGTCCACCACGACTGCAGTGGGCGGGACAGAAGTCAAACACCATTCACTGAGCACCTCCTCTGTGCCCCACACTGTGCTAACTGCTTTGCCCACATGGTAGCTCATTTTAGACCAGGACAGGCAAGACAGAACTGGCATTAGAACCCAGCTCTTGGCGACGCCGAAGCCGCCTTCGTCCCCTACACTAACTGACCCTCAAACTCCACAGTGGCAATTGTGCCAATTAGCTATCAAGGGGTATTGTCTCCTAAATGGCAACCCAAGTGTTACCAGCCCTCTGCCTTCAATGGCCTCCACCCCCACACCTCCCTTTCCTGGGGGCCGCCATACCCCACCCCTTCTCTGGCTATTCCGTGAGCTCCGGGGCTGGGGCCCTAACTAGTTTTATTCAGAAGAAGGTGGGCAAGACGAAGGGATGGAGCCTGCTGTTGAGATGAAGACTATTCATCTGTGTTGCCTTTCTTCACATCCTCTCTCATCTGTCTTTGCTGCCAGAGAGTCTCTCCTGGGCAGGCAGGCAGGCGGGCACTGGCCCCATCTGGCAGAGTGAAAACCCGTGACCAGGCAGATGAAGTGGCTTTTCCTGGGCCAAGCAAAGAAGAAACAGCTGGAACTACAGCTCCAGGTTCCTGATTGCCAGGCTTTGCGAAGAGGAGTGAAGCCCATGTGAGCCTTGTCAGGGATCCCTCCCTCCCCATACTCTCTTCCTAGGACGGGTCACAGCTCTGAGAGCCTGGGGGCCCGTTGGTAAGTGGGTGGGTGTCACTGGGGCCAGAGACACTCACCAGCCTGGAGCCAGATCTGTTCCAGCGTGGTCCACAGCTGCATGGGCCCCTGCTTCAAAACAGAGCTAGGCATGGTCAGCTCTGACATGGCCTCTTCTAGCCTGGAGGCTGCGATGGACGATGCCCGCCGAGAGCCTGCAGAGCAAGAGTGGGAGGGGCTGAGCAGCAGAATCTGAGTGCTACCCACTACAGGCCTCAGGAGCAGGGATTGCACAGCCCACAGGGAGACGCAGGGCACACCGAGCCAGGGCAGGATGGCCGCCGAACAGCTCACAGAGCCGCCAGGAAGGGCCCACCTGGCCCCCTCACCCTCGGCTGGGGAGTGGCGCTTCAAGGGGGCAATCAGGCAGTGAGCCCGCTTCTAGGAGTCTCTCCCCAAGGAACCCAATCATAAACGTCAGCAAAGATGCTGGCCCTTCTGCCTGTTACCTTGACATTGACCGAAATGACCAAATGTCCAACAACAGGGACTGATTAAAAACAAGCGAGTGTATAATCATACAAAACTATGCAGTCACTCAAATAACAATGCACAAATAAGGACATCGATGCAGAAAGATGTCTAGATTCTACAGTTAGGTGAAAAAAGCAGGCTGAAAAAAAGCATGACAATGTTCTTGTAAGAAAGAAAGATGGGCATAGGAAAAGTCTGAAAGCCATGTATTAAGGACTAGGTGGCGAAATTATGGATGATTTTTCTTTTCTTCCTTTTGCTGTTTTTGCTTTCTGTTTTCACAAATGCGTATTATTGCTTCTTAGACAAAAATGTCCCATTTGAGACTATGCAGTGAAGGATCTTGGGTAGCGGCTCAGGTCAGACCCTGTGCCCCTTGGAGAACCTACCTCCCCCTGTGGCAGTTCTGGGCGAATGGGTCCCTGTGTGTGATACCTGAGCTGTTGACATTTACAATTCACATGCAGGTGAAATGTGAGCACTTTCTCTCAGAGGCAATAAAGGCTCCGGTAAACACAGGAGACCTCAGGGCAAACATGGATGATTTCAGTTTATAAGATGAATGCACATGGAATCCTAATCATTTGTTCGTGGTTCTTCCGTCTCATTCCAAGGGCTCTATGCCCTCCTTCGCCAGTTTCTCCTTGGAGTCAGCAGCTCCACAAGCAGCCCACACTCCTCAGATGCACCTCTCAAGTCAGGTGCTGGTCTTGGCACCAGAAATCAACGCCATTGCTTCGCGATGACTTCACGATGAAGGTGCAACTTGGTTTGTGTCCACAGAAGTGGAAAAAATGAGCAAGGCCACTAAATAGGACCCTCTCACACTTTTGTTCCTGTGACTAATTCTTTTTTGTGTGTGACAAAGATATTCTGCTTTAATCAGGTCCTCAGTTAAAAGTCAGCTTTGGGCTTAAAGTTGTAAATTTAAGCTCAGCGCATTCCTTCCTACTTGACTCAATCTACTAAGGACGTTATAATGGCAGACCTTGATCTCAAGGTGTAGCCTGAGAGGAAATGGCTTCTATGCTCTATGCTGTCACTCGATTTCCCCTCCACCCAGGAGGTAGGGTCCCTCCCTTGCCTACTCCAGCTAGCGGCCATCTTGTCCCAGGGCCACACTGGGCCCTGAAAGACGCCGGAGGGCAGCTCCTGACCACAAGGCCCTTGGGCAGCAGCCAACAAGGAGAAGTGAGAATACGTCACTCTCCCCGTTCCTGCTCAGGCTGGGAGAGTGAGCCGTGGGCCCACCGGACAGCGCTCCCGGGGCACGTTCTTACCGGAGTCTCCATCGTGGGCATCAGGCAGAGTCAGGTGCATGCCACTCTGCTTCTTCAGCGTGAGGCCCTCGCCGAGGCTGCCATCCTTCTCCAGGCCTCTGGAAGGCAAGAGAGGGCCAGGCCCCAGTGAAGTGGAGGTTGACAGGGAGAAGGAGGGAGCCTCCTGCCAGGCGGGCTCCAGGGCTGAGAGTTCAGGGCCCAAGAACAAAGCCAAAGCTGGGACCAAGGGGAAGGATGGAGGCAACCAGAGTGGTAGGCCAGGTCAGGGCTCAGGCTTGGGATGCTAGAATCTGGCTCGTCCCACAGGCTCAACTGACACATGGTACTCACTGTGCACTCACTGCCTGCTGTGCGGCCACACACTGCCTGCTGTGCGGCCATCGGTCTCCTTACTCTCCCCTAATGCCACATTTCATTCCCAAAGCGACACACTTGCTAATGCTGCAGCGACTGCGAACGTTCTTGCTGTTCTCGGTCCAGCCCAAACCCCCTATCCTACAGAACCCAGCCCGAGTGCCCCTCATCTGTCTGGGTAAGCCCTCTGTGGCTCCCCTGCCACTCACAGCGGCCGGCCGCCCTTCTCTGCTCTCTGTCAGTCAGCAGGGCTCCCCGCTCCACAGACGCTGAGGATCAGAGACTCCCTTGCTGGCCACAAGCTGCCCCAGGCCACCGGGAGGTCTTTCTACCTTTTGCTGCCCTCATAATGTCTAGCTGACGCCAGGCACAGGGCACTGCTAAGGACTGGCTTCCAAGGAAAGCCTGCCCCTCTCCTGGGGGTGGAAGGCCGAGATGTCACTCTCTGCCTCAGGCACCCTACCATGGCTGCCAGGGTGGCCTCGGAGGAGCCAAAGGGGACCCCTGGCATGGCAGATAAACAAGCATGGTGATGCCAGTCTCCTCCCCTGCCCCAATTCCCCATCCCCGCAGTTCCCACACTGCTAGGGAGGTTCCTCTTTTCTCAGAGTGGGAGGATGGGGAAGTCTCCAGCTCAGAAAGGCAGCTCAGCCTGTCGTGCCGTTAGCTGTCCACGCGCACTGCCAGGGGTCCTGCGGCCCTTGGACCTGCTGACTGGGGAAGTGAGAGGAGGGGCGAGGTGGGAAGGGTGGGAGAGCAGGCAGGCACAGCCTGGGGCCAGACGCTTCTTCCCTTCAGAGGGCACCAAGATGATAGTCCCACCAAGAAAGCTGGGGTCCGGGGAACCCTTGCCATCCTAACCCAGGCTCACAGTGGCCTGAACGTGGGCCTATGGACGCACAGCCATCTTTGTGGGCATTAGAGGAAACCACCCACAAAAACACAGTGTCAGGGCTGGCTCCTGCCCTTTCCCACCCTCTTCCCTTTGCCAGGAGGCACCTGAGTGTGGTACCAGACACTGGGTGAAACCACAGGGCCACCTATTCTTAGCCCTGTAACCCTGGGCAAAGCCACCTTTCAGGGTGAGTTCTCCAGATGAGTTGTCTGACCCTGAGAGGAGCGTGAGGATGTTGGTCTCATGAGGTTGTTGTGAGGAGCACATGAGATCATATGGGCAGGTGCCCAGCACATGCAGGCTTGGAGAAGATCCACAAGTACAGCTTCTCGTCCTACCTGCCCTCCCAGCCCCTGAGGGGCTCCTCCTATGGCTCCAGAAACAGCCCATCTCGGGGACCTTTTGCCCCTTGGTTCTAGGCCAATATACAGCATTGCTCCTGCCCTAAAAAATCTGACAGCCAGGCGGGGAGGAGAGACAACGGAAACTGAGCAATCAGCAAGACCCAGATGGAGAGGGCTGAGCAGAAGCAGGAGGCAGGGTGACTGGAGGCGCCAAGAGGAGGGGCATCTGAGCAGGGCCGGGGGCCAGTGTGGACAAGTGGGAGCACAGCAGGAGGTGGGGCAGGGTAGGCCGGACCCCTCAGGCTATGGATTCTAGCCTCCATCCTTAGCTGCCCCAAACTAGATTTTACAAGACCTACTTTCTGCTCTGTGGCTCCAGGTTGAGAAAGGATGTTTCCTATTCTTGGGAAAGTCTGGAGGGTATTGGATCCAGGCCTCTGAGCCCAACCATTGTCTACAGGTAGCCGGCCTGGCTGAGCCCAGCCCCCAGGTCTCCCTGGTCTCCCCAAGGAGTGCCAGGCCCCCAGACTTCAGATGAGTGTGAGTTGCTACTTAAAAAGACCCCAAGGCAAACTGCATTGTCCCCATAGCCCCACGGTTCTTCTTTCGGCCCGAGGGGGAGCTCAGGCCGGGCCCTATGTGCCTGGACACAAGGCAGCGGTGCTGAGGCCTGAATGAGCAGGCAACCAGCCATCCAGCTCAGAGGTGGTCCCTGCCAGCTTCAGGGGACCTGGCTGTGCACCTGCCCAAGTGGCCATGGCCAGTAAGTTGTAGAACGAGGTGCATCTGAACCCGAGTCTGACCCTCACCCCCACATCAGTCAGGTGGCCCCTCTTTTCCTTTCTGAAAAGTCCCTCACCCCAGAGTCTTCTTCTGGCACCTTCCCTTCTCTGGTCCTGCTCTGCCCTGGAATTTTCCAGGCTCAAAGGCCTGCAAGGAGAAGGCTGATCCTACCCTGCCCAAGGGTTTTACTTCATGGGATCACCCTGGGACCTCCTCTGTGAATTCCGCCCTTAGAGATCTGCTGCTGGGGGCTGCGGAGGCCTTCTGGGCTCCCAGAGTCCCCGTGAAAATGTAAGTGCACCTACTAGCATGGGGTCCCCTGAGACCCTAGGGAGGTGACAGCCAGCAGTCCCAGAAAAGGGCAAGAGGTGGGGTTCAGAAGACCAGGAAGAGGCAGGGCCCCACCCCGCATGACGCCCTTTTCCACTTCGGGCTCACAGGCTGAACCTTAGCATCCCGGTGGGTGGAACAAAGGCTGTCTGCAAGTCTGGCCTGGACAAGAGTACCCTGCTCTGGCCCAGGAAAATCCCCGAGCCCAGGCTGGGGACTGTAGCAGGAGACAGGACACATAGACAGTAGGTAAGTGGGGAAGGAAGGAGGGGCCCTTCCAGAATTCTGCTTCCTCCTGGGCTTTTGGCTTTCAAATGGAACTAGGAAAGAAGAGTCAGGCTCCCCAGGCTGGGACTCAGGAAGCCCAGGTCCAAGGCCCTGCCCTACCATTTACCAGGCAAGTGGCTCTGGCAAATTATCTAAGTCCCTGAGTCTCAGTGTCCTCACTGGGGTGAGAATAAAACCTGATAGTGTCTAAGGTATAAGCAGCTAATGTGGAAGATGGAGCAGCAAGCCCAGGACCTGGCTCAGAGGCTCGATGGTGATTTTCTTCCTTCTTATCCCTCTGAACTTCAGTATCCTAAACAGGTTCTTTATGGACTCCGCAGAGGATTGTCACAAGGTTAAATTTAGACCAGGATGTAAAGGCCTCAGGAGCAGCAAGTCCCCCATTCTCATTCAAACATCCTCATCACCCCCATCTACCAGGCATGTGGCCACTCGGCAGTGGGCGGTTGTCCTGGCAACCACTGCCTGTCATCTCTGGCAAGCCCAAGGGACAATAATGACAGCTACTCACCCCAGCTGGGAGAAGTTGTACAGGGTCTGCCACAGTCGCAGCATCTGTCTGCAGGTCACGAGGGCTTCCTCTGGGCCTTTCAGTACCTGCTCCAGCTTTACCTTGGTGAACAGCAGGCTGCGGGAAAGAGAGTGGCAGTCAGCACGCCCCCGGGGGCCGTGTATAAGAGACAGACCCAGAAAGCAATTTTGAGTCAAGGGAAGGTGCTAAGCCAGGAACTGGTAAAAAGGTCACTGAAGGGCAGAGCTCTGCTTTCTGCCTTGCCAGCGCACAATAGCTGCTCAATCAGCATCTCCTCGATTAAATGACAAACTTTGTTTCCTCACCCTGGATGTACAAGGACACTCACGTTTGACTTTATCAAAGGATTCTTCACTGAGTTTCCTAAAATAGCCTGGTCCCCTTATATATTCAATAGGATTAAAGCTACATGACATCCTATTCAGCCACCATTTAGGAACACAGTTACTGTGCAAAGGGAGAGGGCAAACTCAGCATCTCTTTTAACCTGAAAACCAGAAGTCCTCTGATGTAAGCCTGGTATGAGGGTGTGTCTCTCAGAGGGGCTGGGAAGAGAGGGAAATTGCTGGTTCCACTGGGAAAGTGGGGCTCAGGGTGGGGCGGGGGGAAGATGGCTCCCGCCTCTGCCCAAGACACAGCAGAGACCTTCGGAAGACTGGCCCACTGGGACTCAGGTGGGGTCTGGACACCTTGCTGTGCCAGGGTTTCAATTTTGAGTTGCTCGGGAGGTCTGGGGACACTCACAACGTTTAAGGCGTAGCTGTGTACCAGTGGGGACGAAGACACTGTATTCTTTTCCGACAGGTACTCGCTCCAGCAACACGCATGCACACCAGTGGCCTGGGCAGGCTGGCTGAGCCATGGAGGCCCAGACAAGGATAAGCCTCCTGCTTCTCACTGGGTGGGGTGAACAGTGAGGGCCTTTTATTCCCAGCATGCTGTTGGGCAAATCGACGCAACCGTCAGGCCCTGAACTTGATTGCTGCCGAGTGGCTCTGCCAGCCCACCTGAGGTTGGCACACAGGCCCCATGGAAGCTGAGCCCTGCACCTGGACAGGGAGCATGCTGTGATCTAAGGGTGCGGCAGGGGCAGGCCCTGGATGGGAGGCCAGGCGTTCATTGGGGAGCTTTGCCCTCTGACCTTCTCCCACACTCAGGGCTCTGGGCTCCCCTGTCTTGTACTGAGCTGGGCCTCCAGGCTCAGGAAGGACTTTGATGGCCTCATTCTGCTTTCTTCTCACTCCTTGCTTTCCTTAGACTGTGACTTGCTGGTAGAGAATGAAGAGGGTGGAAAATGCCCCAGTCCTCTTTGCAGAGAGGAGGTTTGGGGTCTGGGCAACTAGTACTTTTCTTCCTCACTTTTCCCCAAATACGCCACGTGCCTTTCGTACCCCTGTGAACAGGGTACCACCGTCTACCCCATATGGCCTCTTTTCTACCTTTCCATCCCTCCCTCATGATGGGCTTTAAATATCACTTCCCTCGGGAAGCCTTCTGGCCTCTCAGGAGGTGCTGCTGACCTACAAGGTCCCCAAGGCAGAAACTCTGGTCCCCACAGCACCCTGGTGGGCAGCTGCTGGGGAGGACTTGTCCTGCTACCCCTACTCCTCTTTCCCAGGTTCTCAAAGGGGCTGACACTCCAGAAGTACTAGGAGCCTCTGCTTTAGGGAATATGACGTGTAAGACAATTTCTGCCTTCAAGGTAACAATTACTGCTACCAATGACAACTTGCCCAGAGAATCAAGCACTTTGGGTCAGACTCAGTGCCAGGGAAAACAGAGAAGCGGTCTTGCCAGCATTTGATGAAAAGGAGGGTGCGATGGGATATAGTTATGAGTGGGGGAAAAGGGACGCGTGGGGGTGGACAGGGGCCCCAGCGGCCAGAGCAGCAGGCGTGAGTGAGGAGTGGAAGTCCCTGCCCGGAGGAGCAGGAAACATCCAGGCTGAAGTCCCTTCCAAGGCTGCCCTTCCCTCAGGCAGCAGAGTCCCCTGAGCGGGGCTGCTGGTCTGGGTTGGTTCCAGGGCGTCTTCCGGACAGATCAGCCCTGCAGCATTGCCCAGACTCGCCTCCTTTTCAGCAACCTCCGCTCTGCCAGTCCTACTCCCTGCATCCCTGAGAGCCAGGATGCGGCCTTGGCAGACCCGGCCAACCATGTGCCTGGAACAGAAGTGAGCTGGCTTTACAGTGACTTCTACCCACACGGCTGCTATCCTCACAGCTGCTGAAGTTCCATCAGCATGAGTGACCCAGGGTGGAATTTCTCAGCCCAACCGCATCCTTTCTGGGCTGTAGCGAGCGCTCCAATAGTCACCCCCTGGTCAGATCCTTCCCTCCCAGATCCTGGGAGGCTCCAGGTTAGTTAGTTCCTGTGATTTCCTTGGTGTCACAGTTCAGCACTGCCAGTGAGACCTTGCTCAACAGAAAGCCCTGTTCTGACTGTCCATGACAGCAATTCACATGTCTGCGTGGGCCACTTTCCACTCCTGTCACCCCTCCGCATGACCTTGGGGACCCATGCACTGCTCAAATGGGTATTAGCAGCTCCCCAAACTGCAGGACAGGCTCCTGGACCCATCTGTGCTCTGCTCCATGTTGTCGCCCGGCTGGGACGTGCCCTTCCCCCTCCAACATCTGGCCCAGTCCTAGCCAGATGTTACCCTCTGCTGTATGTCCCCATGGGGGCTGCACACACCCCTCCAGGAGAGAGTTCACTATGTCGGGATGTGGTCCTGTGCACACCTGCTGGCGCGCTTCTAGCTCACCGCCAAAGCCTCTCCCCTCTTTGCGACAGGGATCAGCAAACAGTTCCGCTCCCCCCAAAGGAGCAACTCTGCCGCTCTTCTGACTAAGGCCAGAAGACTAAGGCCTGACTAAGGCAAAGCCCCAGGCCTGTCAGGGCACAGGGCTCCGTCTCTGTGTCATCTGCCAGGACCGGTGGCAGAACTCTGGTGGGTCACCGTGGCTGCTAGCTGTGGGGGCTGGGAAATGCAAGGGGCAAGCCCGGCTGCCCAGCCCCTCCAACCAGCCCCGCCCTGGGCATGCATGTTTTATATACTTGAATGATTCTATAATTGCCATTTGAAGAAAGGATTCTGAGAATTTTAAAAAGCCTACTATTTTAATCCGGTGGATCCAAGTCCGCCTCCTTGGAGAATCCCAGTATGACCACCTCTGCCCTTCTCTGACTGTTCTGGATCGTCTGCAGTGAGCACTTGATTACTATATATATGTATACATACATATATACACACATATATATTGCTTTTTGCTACATAGGCTTACGAATTTAGTAATGAAGAATAACTCAAGAAGCATTTTAAAATTCAGACTCTGTGGAAACATTTTGTGGCCAGTCTTAACCACAGATGGTAAAACCACCATTTATTTTGTCCTGTGTCTTGCAGTGCCCCGCCCCCCCCCCGCCCCCCGCCCGCGCGGAAGACAGGGCCCGCAGCTGAGCACAGTGTTTGCTTAGTGCTGTGAGAATGTGTGTTGCCACTACCAGCAGGCCACGGCCTGGGTCTCACAATCTGTGTTAAATCAGAGAGGGTTTCTGACACCACTTCGCGCTGCTGGGTCCTGGCTGGGAAGGTAGGAGAGGAATCGGACCACTTGCTGCTTCATAGCTGCAGTGAGCGGGACTCATGCAGCCAACAAGCAACATGCTGGCCGATTCCATCTTAGGTTGTCCAGGAGCAAAGCTGTACAGAGCCTGGGGAGGAGCAGGGAGTTCTGGGTGTGATGTGAAGATGCCTGGCTCCCTTGTGACTGGGGAGTCTTCATTCCAGAGGCCAATCACCCAGGCACAGCCAACAGAATAACCGGGAAGAGTTTGAGACAGGAAGGCCTGCAATACTGGAATCTAGCAGCCCACTCACACACTGACAAACGCCATTCCAGGACAGGAATGGTCACATCACTGTCCTTAGCCCCGCAATGTGACCTGACTCAGAGTGGACAGGCACTGACCCAGGAGTGAGAAATCCCAGCCCAAGACCCAGCTCTGTGGCTCCCGAGATGGGGCATATCGCAGGTTCCAGACCTGTGGAAGAGGAGCAAGGTCCTCTGGCCTGTCTGCCCAGGGATCCCACAGACGAATTTGAGGCAGCGGCTGAGCTGCATTTAGTCCTCAGGCACAGGCCTGCCCAAGGCTCGGGGAAGGGACTCCTGCTTTGAAACTGCACACCTGGCAGCCTTGGAAAAGCAGTGGCCAGGTCAGGTGCCTCTGAAGGCTTGCAGAAAGCCCCCGGGCTTCACGGCCTGTCTGGCAAGGCAGGTGGTCCTCCCCCTGGCTCCCGGGACCCAAGGCTGGCAAGAGAAAGGAAGAGGATGGAAAGATGGACAGAGCCATAGCCATCTCGGCTGTGACCCCCTCTTGTGAGCACTTTCCTGTTTTCAAAGCGGAGCAAGCCCATGTGGAATAAACACTGAGGTCTTTTAAGGCCACATGCCCACGCCACGCCATTGCGTCTGAAGGCAGATGTGAAAGTGAGTATTCTCTCTGGAGAAGGGGAAGGGCGAGGGTCAGTGTAAACACACCAGGCGCGGGCCCTCCTGGGGACGAGGCTGCCGGGGCTGTGGGGAGGAGAGTCCTGGATCCCGGCACTCTCCACAGTCCAACCCAGTGGACACAGCCTGTGTGCCCTGGTCCTAGTAGGGAGGCCCAGGGCGGCCACGAGCCCACTTTCTGAGAGCTTGTGTCCTCCCTGGGAATGTCACCAAAACCCTGACAGCCAGGGGGCACCTCAGCCACCTCATCTACTACTGCATTCTGGTCATGGTGGGGAGCCGCCACCTTCGAAATTATCTTCACAGTCCAGTACCTTGGGTGGGAAGGAGGGTGCCCCTGCTGAACAGTGAGACACCTCAGCCCTGCAGCTGGTCTGCCTGAGTCCGGGCCAGCCCCCCTCCCGTGGGGAAGACAGGGACCAGTGAGGTCAGGGTCTGGCCGCAGGTCACCAGCTTTGCCACCCTTCCCTGTCACTCTGGCCAGGGCTGACAATGGAGGTTCCCGGGGGAATGCTCAGGCCGGCCTGGCACCTGCCGCCTCTTCCTCGCTGCCCTTCCTGGGCCCTGCCTGGCCTGCACTCCTGC